TGGATCATGGACGTACGGGCGACGTCCATGACCATGCCAATGCGGCGCTCAGCAATCCCATTTTGCTGTGGAGAGGCCGGAAGCGTGAACGTCTGGCGGATGCCTCGTGCACGACAGAAGGCTCACAGAAGGTCAGAGGAGAACTCTCCGCCTCTGTCGGAGTGCAGACGCAGAACAGGAAAGTCAGAGCCAAAAACTCTCTCTGAGCTGGAGACGAGCAGCGCGGATCCAGTCGATCAACACCCCAATGACCTCACCCTTGCTGCGCAAGGGGAAGACTGTGGTGTAACGCGAGTAGTCGTCAACCACCAGCAGGAAGTAACGCTCGTGACCCTGTCCACGGACGCGGGCTGGGCCCCACACATCCATGTGAAGCGTCTGCAGCGGAGCCTCTGTCGGAGGAAACTCGGAGGAGTGAGTAGCAGCGCGCTGCCGCCCCTCGATGCAGGGAACGCAGGTAGGGGCAGGCCCTGGAGGAAGAGGAGGGAGGGACCGGGGGAGACCAGAGACAAGGACACGGGAGGCCATGCCTCGGAGACGAGGCAGGGAGGGGTGACCAAGGCGGTGGTGCCAGAGGAGAGTCTGGTGAGACAGGAGACGACACGAACAGGGGGCAGACTCAGGACCAGACCTGGACGCCGCAGCAGACACCTGACCCGACGCAGCTACCTGACCAGACGCAACAACCGGAGGAGACCCAGTAGTCAGTGTGTACAGGCTCGACCCCGGCCGACGGGTAAACGTGGCCAAGTGTCGGCCCGTCCGAGCACACGTGCAGTGGGTCACTCGCTGACTCGCAGGAGTGAACTGGTGAACCCCCCCATCCTGTAGATCAGCACCACTCACCAAGTTCGTAGAGAACGAGGGGAGGTAAAGACCTGACAGGGTGCCAGAAGGGGCCGCCGGACACGGTAAGACAGTGGAGAAGTGGGCAAGGACAGGACCCCCAGAGGGGTCTGCCAGGGAGACCGCAACTGGCCGACTAAGCGGCGTGAGTGTGGTGCGGTCTCGAAAGAAGGAGCGGGAAGCACCCGAGTCAAGGGTGAAGGTGTGGGAGGCCTGAGCCGACGTGGTACCTGAGAGAGCAGAGTCACCAGCACCTGGGGCAGCAGACTCACTAGCACCTAGAGAAGCAACCTCACCAGCACCTAGAGCAGCAGCCTCACCAATGCCCGGGTCAGGCGGAACACACAGGTAACAGTCACCTTCATCACTAGTAGACACAGCATACATGGCAGCAAGAATAGCATCATAGTCAAGATCAAAGATAGCAACCCCCGCCCTAGACAGCTCGCCCCAGCGAGGGATCTCCGTGGCGTCAGGGAACTGGTGACGCCAAGCGTCCGTCAGGCGGCCGAAGCAGCGCTGGGTGGAGTGCGGGCCTCCGCACTGCTCACCAGTGCGGTCACCGGTACGAAGGACGTAGGTACAGGGACCAGAACCCCCACCTCGCTGACGCCCAGCGTACCACTCACGAAGCTGCTGGGGGGACGGGGTCTCACGAGTGCGATGCTGCTGCTGGCGCTGACCACCACCGGAGCCACCCCTCTGCGCAGAGCCGCGACCAGCTCCACCGCCGCCGCCGCCACCTCCGCCGCCTCCGCCACCTCCGCTCCCACCGCCACCGACGCTTCCACCCCCGCCACCACTCCCACCACCACCCCCACCCCCTCCACCGCCTCCACCGCCACCTCCACCGCCCCCGCCAGCTCCTCCAGCACCCTTGCCCCCCTTGCCTTTGCCGGTGCAGCGTCTCCCGCTAGGGGCAGACGCAGCTCCGACCGACTCGAGGCCAACGAGGTCGGCCGCAGCAGCAGAGGCAACAGAGGGCAAGAGGGGGGAGGGGGAGCACCCCTCAAAGAAGGGGGTGCGAGGGTCACCACGAGAGGCTCCTACAGCGACTATACTCTTCTCTGCTGCCAGGAGGCGCTCCTCGAGGAGGTCAACGGTGAGTGTGGTGGGGCAAACAGAGAGGAAGTGGTCCCTGACCGAGCGAAGGGAGTCAGGGAGCCGGGTGACTATGTAGTAGAGGGTGATGTACATGGGGGGGGGGGTTCTTGGCGCAGAACTCAGCAGGAAGCGCAGCGCGGTAGCGGGTGTCACTAGTGCGAAGGTGCGTAATGAGGTCAGCGACTGTGGGAAAGGCGGCGAGGTCAGGGAACAGGTACGGCAGCATGAGGCGGCTAAGGGCAGCAGTGGCAGGGGTAGAGTAGCGTGCAACTACAGCGTCGTACAAGGTCTTAGCACTCTTGTACTGACTAAAATGCGCACGCTCAGCGGTCGGTAAGTGGCGACGCACAGCAAGACGGGCAGCAGCATCGCGTGTGGCCCACTGTGAGCGAACAGTGCTGTCAGCATCGGCAGGAGGGGCAGGAGAGGCACCAGAGGTGAGATCGAACAGGGAGAGTCCGTCTGTCCTATCGCACTGTAGGACAAGCTGCAGGTCATCGACCCAGACCTCAAAGTCAACAGCCCGACCCTCAGCATCAAAGGTAAGGACACTGGGGGTAGCCATGACAGCAGCAGTCTAGCAGTGAGAGTAGTAGGCTAGGGGCAGCGCAGTGGCAAAGGCGCTGCTCGGAAGTGCTCTCACCAGTCCGGGTGGGTAGGGCCGGGGCGCGCCGACAGGAACAGGGCCGGAACTGCGGCGTCAGCGGCTCGACAGCGGCAGCAGCGGCTCGGCGGCGGCGGCGGCGGCTCGACGGCGGCGGCGGCGGCTCGAAGGCGGCTCGGCGGCGGCGGCGGCTCGACAGTGGCGGCTCGACGGCGGCGTCTCGACAGCGGCGGCTCGACGGCGGCGGCGGCGGCTCAGCGGCTTGGCGGCTCGGCGACGGCCGCAAGAGGGCGGCAGGAGGGCCGCTAGAGGGCGGCGACGGGGCCGCGAGAGAGCGGCGACGGGGCCACGAGAGGGCGGCGACGGGGCCGCAAGAGGGCGGCGACGGGGCCGCAGGAGCGGCGGCGGGGCCGCAAGGGCGGCGACGGGGCCGCAAGGACGGCGACGGGGCTGCTGAGGGCGGCGACGGGGCCGCTGCGGGCGGCGAAGGGGCCGCTGAGGGCGGCGACGGAGCCGCTGAGGGCGGCGACGGGGCCGCTGAGGGCGGCGACGGGGCCGCGAGAGGGCGGCGACGGGGCCGCGAGAGGGCGGCGACGGGGCCGCGAGAGGGCGGCGACGGGGCCGCGAGAGGGCGGCGACGGGGCCGCAAGAGCGGCGGCGGGGCCGCAAGGGCGGCGACGGGGCCGCTGAGGGCGGCGACGGGGCCGCTGCGGGCGGCGAAGGGGCCGCTGGGGGCGACGACGGGGCCGCGAAGGGCGGCGACGCGGCCGCTAAGGGCGGCGGCGGGGCCGCTAATGGCGGCGACGGGGCCGCGAGAGGGCGGCGACGGGGCCGTGTAGGGTGGGGCCGCGAGGGGCCGTTAAGGGCGGCGACGGGGCCGCGAGAGGGGCCGTGAGAGGGCGCGACGGGCCGCTAAGGGGAGGACGGCACACAGGGCGTGCCTCGGTCAGGAGCGACTCGCTCTCCGTGCAGAAAAATTTAATCGATTTTCAGTGGTGGGCCCTAGGAACAGTTCCCACTAGGGAACCTGCTCTATACCATGTGAAGAAATGAGGAATGAATGATGAACTAGGAAATGAGTTGGGTACAAATATGAAACCCTAGAAAGTTGTACCCCATACTGTCTACCCCACTACAGCCTAGAAAGACTATAGCATATAAGTTTGACACCTGACACCCGAAGTGAAGGCGAAATTCGCGGAACTCAACATCGTGTCGGCGGTCATCCCGGCGGGATGTACGGCAAACTTGCAGCCGCTCGATGTGTCGGTCAACAAAAGCTTCAAGGCGAGTGTTTGGCAGCAGTACCAGACCTGGTTCGAGCAGGACGGCATGAACATCCTGACACCCGCAGGTACGCAAAGTGTTCTCCCGTGACCGCTTCGTCTGCTTGTCTGCCTGCTTGTGGTCTCACGTGTTTCCCACCCTCGCGTATGTGGTGCAGGGAACATCAAGAAACCACCTCCGGAGGTGGTGCTCAAGTGGATTTCACGGGCGTGGAAAGCTGTGCCCGTCGACCTGATTAAGAAAGCGTTCCTCACCTGCGGCATGAGCAATGCCCTTGGCGCATCGGAGAGGTCAGCTGTCCCACGAGGTAGAGGTTGATGACAACATCCAAGCAGACGGGTTCATTGGCAACAACTCCACGGAGCCTGAATCAGACGAGGAGTAGGCCTTAGGCTAGACTAATCTTGAAAATGGTGTGTAGGCTAGGATGCTAGTCTAATGTATTTGAATTGAAATTTTTAGTTGAAATTTTTAGCTGGAGTAATGTAGTTTGTACGTAGGTTGTAAAGAAAGTGAAAAAAAACAACAGACATTCTTGTCTATACAGCAAGGGTGCGCTTATAATAAGTAACGTTTTTTTAGAGGGTGCGCTTCTAATTGAGGATCTGCCATAAGCGCATTGCTCCAGATAGAAGCGCATGCGCTTAACATAGGCCAGCGGTTATTCTCCGCTCATGCCTTCGCTCATTGTACGCTTGCTTCGAGAGTGCAATTCTCGTTCGATCACTCAATTGCACTCGTAACAGTATGTCAATAGCTGTTATAATAATAATGGCAATCATCTAGATTGAAAATCACATGACAAAAACGTACAATCATACAATACAATGGTTTGCTGGAAGAATGCTCAAGGCAGAAGTTGCTTCGTCTTCATAACTCATGGCGTCGTGCCAATCTCTGCTGCACTGCAGTAACCCTCAGGTCATGGGAACAATCCGTCCAGTCACCTTATTGAAAACCCGATCGCCACTTCTTTGAGTTCTTTCAAGATGCAACAATGTGCCACTGTTCATCAGGGCAAGTCAAGTTGAGTGGCTGTATCTGATTTGAAGACGTCTCAATTGTTGTTCCTGGCATTATGTAATCAGCTCTCACAGTGAAGCCGCCTCCCAGTGCTAGAGAACGAAGTTGAGTTGAGTGGAGGAGATACGGCCCAGGCTCAAGGCTCTGGAGCCATTTCTGAGCGGGATTCGGGGTTGAGATGGGGATTGGGAAGGGGGGGAGTGAAGGTTGAGGTGAAATGGGAGTGGAAAGAGTTGAAAGGGGCTTCTGAAAGGGGGAATTGAAAGGGGGAGCTGAAAGGGGGAGTGAAAGGGGAGATGAAATGAAAGGGAAGTAGATAGGGGTTTCTGAAAGGGGGAGTTGGAAGGGGGATTTGGAAGCGAGAATTGAAAAGGGGGGTTGAAAGGGAGAATTGAAGTTGAGAGTAACCACTAGCGCCCTCTTCCCAAAACCTGTAACCACTAGCCCCATACCTCCACTCCACACGCCACGGATCGCCTGACGGCAGAGGCACCTCACAAACCATTAAACCCTCCCAACCCTCAAACCGCCAGCACTAGCGCCGCTCCTTCCCCCAAGCACTAGCACTTTACTTAGCTCCCAGCTTTGACAGCATACCTCCACACGCCACGGATCACCACAAGGCTGAGGCAGACTGCTGCCACACCTCCATCAACCACTAGAGCCCTTTCCCACCCCAAAGCCTTTGATTACTAGCACCATATCCCCCAAACCTGTAACCACCAGCAGCATACCTCCACACGCCATGGATCGCCAGATAGCCGAGTCCGGCCGCTGCTACACCTCACTCAGCATGGGAGCATTCCCCTCCCCAGCTCCCCACCACTGGAGCCCTTTTCCCCCTTCCCCCCAACCAGTCCCCAGCCCCTAGCAGCATACCTCCACACGCCACGGATCGCCATATGGCTGAGGCCGACCGCTGCCACACCTCCATCAGCTCCTCCTCCGTCTGATTGGGGGGCAGGGTGGCACCACACAGCACCGCACAGCACAGAGCAGAACAGAGCAGAAGAAGGGCGTTTCGTAGCCAGGATGGGGATAAGCACACATGCTGCGTGACTAGGGTTGAGATCATGCGCCGAGAAGGGAAACGACGGTGAAGTCTCAGATCTTAAGGTGAAGTGATGGTGAGGGTCAGTCAGTTGCAGTTGGAGTATTGATAGTAGCCAGACAGGGAACCATCTCCTCCTCCTTACGAATTCCATTCGCACCCATCATCACCGCACTCCACCGCTCCTCACCTCGCAATGCTCCTGTAGCTGCTCCCTCTTGGGCAAGGGCCAACTAGCCAGCCTCAGCGCAACCTGCAAGCAAACCCCTCCCTCTCTTCGCATCCCTCGCATGCTGCTAGTGTACCCACACCCAGTCCCACCCCACTCCACCCTTCCTCACCCCACTCCACCGCTCCTCACCTCACACTGCTCCTGCAGCTGCTCCCGCTTGGGCATGGCCCAGCTCCACAGCCTCAGCGCCACCTGCACAGCCCTGCTCTGCTGCTGGGGGGTGGGCTCACCGCCTGTCAGACAACAAGGGAAAAGAGGCAGGATTGTTATGTGAGAGGATGTGGATGGGCATGGCCCAGCTCCACAGCCTCAATGCCACGTGCACGCCCTGCTCTGCTGCTGCGGTGTGGGCTCGCCGCCTGTGATGCAAGCCGTGTAGATGGGGAGCGAGAGGGAAAGCGGGGGTCTGTTGGGTGAGAGGACGTGAGGGAGAGGAAGGGCAGGGCCCACCTGTAGAAAATGTTTTCTTTTAGAGGAAGGGTTTTGAGACGTCTCAAAAAATCACTTTCTACTAGGGCAGGCCCCACCCCTACTCTGCTGCAGTGGCAGGAAGGGTTTTGAGACGTCTACTAGGGCAGCACACAACCGTCTGCACCACCCTGCTCTTCTGCTGGGCGGTTGGCAAATTGACAAATTGTTTTCCGGACAATCTTTATTTTAAAATGAGGGAACCAAAACTCACATTCTTCTATCAGAGAGAGCAGCTTGGCGACAAACCCTGCCACCCCTCCGCCGCCCTGCACCGGCCACCAGTTGCCGGTCGGCAGCGCCATCCGGGCGGCAACGGCCAGCGAGACGTCGATCCATTCGTCATCTTCTGGGTCGAGGACGTCCAGCAGCGACTGGGCGGCGTCGTCTCCGGGCGGCAGGTCCTGTAGCAGGCCGGCGAGGCCCCAGTCAAAGACAGAAGAGACAGTGGCACTGCTGCACTTGCCGTCCTCCTCCAGTTCCTGAGGTGAGGGGCAGGGGAGCGCAAGCAAAGGGTGAAGGAGAGAGGGAGCATAATGGGAGAGAGAAATGTGGGGGTGGGTGGCGGTGGGGAGAAGCGGGGAGGGGAGAGAGGGGAGTCGTTTCGGAACAAGTAGGTGAGGCAAGAGGGAGGGTAAGTGAGAAAGGAGGGAGGGTAAGTGAGAAGGGAAGGAGGGTAAGTGAAAAGGGAGGGAGGGTAGGAGAGGCTCTGCATGGCGCGCAGCAGACGGGGCAGGTCGAACTGTCAGACATCTATCCCCTTTACAAGCATCCATCTATCCCCGTTAAAAGCAGACTCACATCATAGTTGAACCAGATGGAGAGGCTCTGCATGGCGCGCAGCAGGCGCGGCAGGTCGTACTGTCGCTCCACGAGGCGGCCCACGCGCACCCACATGGGCCACCCCACCTGCACGCCCGGGTCGTCCATTCCCTCAATCTTGTGAACTGCCCTCTCCTCCATCTCACCAACTTCGCCCTCGCCCAGCCACTTGGTGAGTAGCACCTGCGGTAGAGGTGCACACAGGCAAGGGAACGGGAGTGGTGAGAGTAAGTCATCTTCACCCCACCTGCACCCCCGGGTCATCCATGCCCTCGATCCTCTGAACTGCCCGCTCCTCATCTCCCCCACCTCGCCCTCGCCCAGCCACTTGGTGAGTAGCACCTGCAGACCAGGCACGCACAAGTAGGGGAACAGGACAGCGGGCGAGAACAGGGAGAGACATGGGAGCAGGTGAGAGACATGGGAGCAGGTGAGAGACATGGGAGCAGGTGAGAGACATGGGAGCAGGTGAGAGACATGGGAGCAGGTGAGAGACATGGGAGCAGGTGAGAGAGTGAAAGGCATGTCCGTGCCACACCACCACCGTGAGCACAACCAGCAGGTGGGGCTGGGCAGGTCGTACTGTCGCTCGGCCAGGCGCCCCACGCGCACCCACATGGGCCATCACCCCACCTGCACTGCACGCCTGGATCGTCCATTCCCTCGATCTTAGAGACTGCCCGCTCCTCCATCTCCCACACCACACCACACCACACCACACCACACCACAACCCACCCACTTGCCCACGCACCTGCGCGCAGAGGTTGAGCTCTCTTTCCTCCATGGGCGCCCCTCGGCTGTTGATCCTGAGGAAGTTGAGCAGCAGCTCGTACGCCCACGCGTGCTGCCGGCGCATCACCTCGCTGCGCAGCATCGCATCCACAAACTCCGCCACGTACGAGTTCTGCTGGGAGGTGCGCGGAGTCAAGAACACCGCACTCGACGGCTTGCTGCCCGTACCCGTGCCACTGCCCAGGCCTGTGCCCATGCCGGTGCCAGTGCCAGTCTTACCCACTCCGCCTCCCATCCCCCCTCCTAGACCCCCGCCTGGGCCCATCCCAGCAGCTCCCCCCCAATTCCCTGCTGCGCCAGCACCAGCACCACCAGCACCGCCAGCACCTCTCGGGCTTCCGTGGGGGGTGCTGGAGAAGAAACTTCCAGCCCAGCCTCTCGCCCCTCCTCCTCCCCCTGCTGCAGCAGCAGCAGCAGCAGAAGGGGAAGAAAGGGTGCCACTTCCGCTGGTGCCGCTCCCTCCCCCCAGCCACAGCGTAGGAATGTCACTCTTGCCCCGGGCGTGCCCTGGCTTGGATCTACCCGCACCAGATAATGCCTCCCCGTCCTCCCGCCCCTCCTCTGCTGCCACCCCTTCGCTGAGCCATGCTCCCACCTCGCCTTCGCTCCCTCCCCGCCTCCTCCCCTCCCTTACTACCAGTTCGACACCACTACCACCAGCGCTTGGACCAGTGGCATCAGCATTGTTGCCGGCACCTGAAGGACCACCTGGGGCACCACCTGAAGAACCACCTGAGGCACCGCTTAAGCTAGCACTAACCCCAGGAGCGCTTGCTCTGCCAGCCGCCCACAACCCACCCACCGACCCTGTCGCCGAGCCTTTCCCCGAGCCTGCTGCTGCAGCTGCAGCTCCGGAACTAGCCTGGGAGGCAAGCGCAGAGCCCCAACTAGAGGCAACTGCAAAGGCAGCAGCAGCCCAACCAGGAGCAGCCGCGGAGAGAGACGGGGAGGGGGAGGCTGAGGGAACTGTTGAACCAGAGAGAGCAGGAGAGGAAGTGGAAGAGGGGGAGAGAGGATCAGAGGCGGCAGCTTTGGCTGCTGCTGCTGCTGCTGCTGCTCTAGGGGAGGTAATATCTGGATCTGCCTTGACGGCAGCGTCTGAGCCTGTCCCCCCACCTCTACTACTGCTTGCTCCTGCGCTCCTCCCCCCTTGCGCTGCTCCCCCAGCACTCCTCCCTCCTGTATTAGGAGAGGAGAGGGGAGAGAGATGGGCCCCCTCTCCCGCCCCAGGGCCCCCAGACCCCCAGAACTGGGCCGTTTTCACCGCAGCAGCCAGCCTAGCAAACCGCATTGTAACCGACTCAACCCCTCTACCTGTAAACACCATTCCAATCACCCGATCGAACCCAGCAGCCTTGAGCCTCCCACTGGAAACGGCCCTCAGTGCGGCATGAAACGCCGCCTCGTCTAACCCTAATTCCTGGGCTAGACTCGCAATTGCCATGCTGTCGTCCGGGTGTATATGCTCAAGTTCCCTCATCGTCGCCGCCAGGGTCATCCCCAGCAGGCCCGGGCCGAGGCTGAGCTGTAGGTACAGCCGATCCTGCTCCTCACACCGTTCCTCCAGGCTCGAGTGGGTGGCAGCTGCAAGCCCTTCTGCTAGTGCTACCTCTGCCATAGCTGCTAGGGACATGGGTTCCCAGACCTGAGGTCTACGGGGGGTGTGGGTGGAGGAGAGTGGGGAGTGAGAGAGCGGGGAGTGGGTGAGTGGGGAGCGGGAGCGGGAGGGAGGGCGGCTGGGATGAGCTGGGGAGTGGTTGGGGGGGGTTGGGATTGGTGAGGTTCCTCCCATGTGGGCGAGAGGAGCGGAAGCAGCAGCACCAGACGCAGCAGCTTCAGAAGTATCCACACCGGATGCCAGACTCGGCATGGTCCATCCCCTTCTCTGCTGCTCCTTACTCACACCTCCCCCACCCCTCCTCCCCCTCTGCCTCTCCATCCCTTCCTCCTCCCCCCCACCTTCCCTCTCCTTCTCACCCTCCTCCTCCTCCTCGCCTTCCTCGCCCTCCTCCAGCCGCCCCTCCCCATCCCCTCCTTGCCAAATCATCAGCCGCTGCACAGCAGGGGTGGACGCCGCTACAGCTGCAGTGGACCGCTCGCTACAGGCAGTCAGGATGGCAGACAGGCACGACACTACAAACGCCCGGCAGGCCGGCAGGTGTGTGCCTAGTAAGGGAGCCCATGACCTGTTGGACTTGTTGCCCCCACTCATGCTGCTGCTGCTCCTGCTAGTGGTGCTAGTGCTGGTAGTGCCGTTGCTGCTGCTGCTGATTGCGCTCACAGCTTCGGAACTCTCCGAGCCTCTGCCGGAGGTGGCGCCGCCGAAGCTCGAGCTGGGGGGTCGGTGAGAGGGGTGCAGAGCGGTGGATTTGTGAGAAACAGGTTCGTCTGCGTCTGGGTTGAACTGAAGAAGCATCAGCTGCTGCTGCTGCATTAACTGCATGCTGGGTGTGCGGTTGTGACCGATAGGTGCAAAGGACCGTGACACAGGCACAGCGGCACGAGGAGAGCCCCTCAAGCTCCCCACTCCCCCCCCTGCTGCACCTGCACTTCCTCCCCTAACCGATCCCAGCCTTTGATAACCACCACCACCAGTACCAGCACCAGCGCCGGCGGCAGCAACAGCTGCGGATGCTGCTACAGCTGCCGCTACAGCCTGCTCTCGCTCCAGCTGTAGCTCGAAGAAGGCGATGCGGTCGAGCAGGCGCAGGAGAATGAGGGCGGCTGTAGCGGGGCGCCACACGCTCACCGCTGCAGCGAGGCCGACAAAAACGAGGATGTTGTCGTGGTGGCAGCGCGAGGCGAGGAACTGGTCTGTGTATCCCCGCTCTGCTGGTGGTGTTGGGGGTGCAGCTGCGGGGAGATTCGCTGCTCCTGCTATTGGTGCGTCAGCAGACCCTTGGGCGAAATCGACGCTACCCCCACCCCCATCAGCACCCTCAGCACCAGCACTGGCAGCAGTAGCAGCGGAAGCAGCAGCAGGGAGAGCAGGGACAGCAGCGCGCAGGTCAGAGCAGAGAGCCATGCTAACCAGCTGCTCCTGAATGCTGCCCTCTGGATCCCACACAAACACACGCACCGCCGCCGCTGCTGCAGGTGCTGCCAGCACAGGCCGCCCCTCTGCCCCTCTCCCCGCCCCTTCCTCCCCGCCTCTGCCTCTGCCCACCCCTCGCCCCCTCCCGTCGCCTGCATAGGCCATGCGGCCGCTGCCCCCTTCCACTGCTGCTGTTGTCAGCGACTTCCCATACGCCCCCTCCTGCTCCTCCTCCTCCTCGTCCCCCTCACGCTCCCCCGCTCCTCTGCCCCTACTACCACTGCCATAGGCACCGGCAGCAGCAACTGCACCAGCTTCCATGCTGAGCCACCGTTGAGGCCTGGAAACAGGCCCAGCCAACCCACCACCACTCTTCCCCCCGTTCCCGTTCCCAGCTTCCCTCCCACTTAACACTACGCCGCTCCCCACCTCATCCCCCCCACACGTCTCCTCCTGTCTCCCAGACCCCGGCCCCACCCCTGCTAGATTTTGAGTCGACTCAAAAGCAGACCCCGGCCCCACCCCTGCCAGCATCCCAGCAGCTTCAGCCAGGTCATCTTGAATGCGTGCGAACCCTAACCCTGCTAAGTCTGCTAGTTCAGGGGCAGTGGTGGAGGAGATAGTTGAGGAGAGGCGCAGCAGTCCCCCTCCCTCCCTCATGCTTCCCCCCTCGCGCAAACTGCTCCCTCTGCTGTTCACTCGGGCCGTTGTGAGGCCGCCGCGGCTGCTGGTTCGGCTGAAGGTTCGGCTGATGCTGCTGGTTCGGTTGATGCTGTTGGTCCGGTTGATGCTGTTGGTTCGGTTGATGCTGTTGGTTCGGCTCACTCGCCCAAAGCTGTCTCTACGAGCCCAAGGCTCGGGCGAGCCTATCCCAGTCCTCTCCTCATCGACCCAGCCTAACGACCTCTGCCTCCCTATACTCCCTCCTCCCCCTCCTCCCCCTCCCTCTCCCCCTCCTCCTCCCCTTCCCTCACTACTCAACCAAGCACCTGAAGGGATCCTTTCCATATGCTCCTCCCCATACCCCTCCCCCTCCTCCCCCTCCTCTCCCTCCTCTCCTTCCTCCAGCAGAACCTCCCCCTCATCCTCCTCCTCTGCCCAATCGGGAGGCCCGTCCCCCCACTGCTCCCAGAACCTCAACCACACAGCCAGTGCTACAGTAAACGCCTCGCTGACGTGGCGCTCTTTCAGCCTATCAGAGAGCTCCGTTGCGCTTCGGAATTTCTCACAGATCCACTCGAAGTCCCGGTGTGCCGCAGCTGATGACGAGGCTCGGACCATCGACCCGAGCCTCCCGCTGCTGCTGCCGAGCCTGCCGCTGCTGCCGCCAAAGCTGTCAGGCCGCATCCGAGCCAGACTGAACCCACCTTCCCTATACACCTCCTCTCTACCCTCCTCCCCTTCGTCACCCCTCTTATACCCCTTACAAGCATCCTCAGTCACCCACTCATCCTGACCCCCCTCCCATCGCTTCCCCTCATGCCCCCACCCTACACCACCACCACCCCCCTCCCCACCCACACACCCATCCCCAGCCGTCCGATTCACCATCAGATCGCCCTCATTGTCCACAGACTCATCTCCAGCCGTCCGTTTGAGCATCAGATCGAGCAGATCCATGAACAGCAGAGTCCAGTGCTCCCTGCACCTCTGAGCCCTCACTCTAGCCGCCCCTATCGGCCCAAACTCCCGACCACACTGCCACTTACTGCTGCTCCCTGCTGCACCCCCTGCTAGAAACCCACCCCCAGCAGCAGCAGCAGCACCTGAAGGCCCATGATGATCCCAGTGCTGCCCATCTCTCACACCACTCACACCACCCCCACCACCGCCGCCACCGCCGCCGCCGCTGCTGCTGCTGGTGCCGGTGAAGCCAAAGGGTGTGGGGGGAGAAGAGCGCTGGGAGGAGCCTGAGAAGCCTGCGAAACCCGGGGGGCCTGAGGGGCCTGGGGAATCCGAGGGGGCTGAGAGGAGTAGAGGGCGGAACTGGAAACCAGAACTGGTGGGGCGAGTGGTGGGCTGAACCGTGTTGAGAGGAGGCAGGTGGGGATCGTGTTGAGGGGCTTGGAGACCGCCTGTCATAGGGTCGCCCTCGCCCTGCTCATCATCCTGTCTGCCCTGCTCTGCCTGCTTTTGAGGCGCCTCACAGGTCTGCTCGCCCTGCTCGCCCTGCTCGCCCTGCGCGCCCTGCTCGCGCTGCTCGGCCAGCACCTCCTGGCCACTGTGAGCATCGCATTGCTCCTGCTCGCTTCTCACTCGAATCTTCTTGCCTTTGAACACGAGCTCTGAACCCATCCCCTCCTGAGCGTCCGCTTCTTCTTCCACCTCTGGCCTCCCTTGGGACATGACTCCTCCTCTCAGTTCCTCGCCTGGAACAGTAAGAGGTCCTGTGGCGGTGGAGGGGGGTACTGAGCGTTCAGAATGGGGTTCTGAGGTGTTAGATACGGTGGAGAGCGAGGAGAGGGGGCGCACTGGGACGCGCACTGAAAGCAATGGACTCACAAAGTCAAACTCGTCCGTGCCGCTGCTGACCTGTCCGTTGCTGACCTGTCCGCTGCCGTTGCTGACCTGTCCGTCATTGACCAGTATGCTGTTGACCTGCGTTGACCCGGTTGAACCTGATAAATTTGCTGGACTTGCTAGCTCTGAAAAACCCGTTGACCCAGTTGACCCACTTGACCCTGTTAACCCCACTCCTGGCCCCGCCTTCCCCAAATCTGCCATAGTGAAATCCCGAGGTAAACCCGGTACAGAAACAGCAGCAGCAGCAGCACCCTTTTCAGCGGACTCAAAAGGCTTGCCCAGGTCCACCAAGGTGAAATCTCGAGGCAAACCGGGCATGACAGCAGCAGCACCCCGTTGAGACGTCTCAGGAGAAGCGCCCAAATCTGCCATGGTGAAATCTCGAGGCAAACCGGGCATGACAGCAGCAGCACCCCGTTGAGACGTCTCAGGAGAAGCGCCCAAATCTGCCATGGTGAAATCTCGAGGCAAACCAGGCATAACAGCAGCAGCAGGAGTTGCTCCCTCTGTGAGTTTTCCAGACAGCCCAGCTTCAGTGGTGGCTGCCTCTGCTGCTCCCTCTCCCTCTGCTACACTCCCCTCCTCTGCCTCCCCCACTCTTGTTTTCTCTCTCCCTTTCTCTCTCTCCTTCTCTCTCCTTGTCCCCCTCTCCTGCTCTCTCTCTTTCTCCCTCGTCTTCTCCCTCCCTTTCACGACTCCTAGCTTGGTCCACTCTATCACACCTTCCGATGATTCTGCCTCTCCACCCCCCTCCACCTCATCCCTATCCTCTTGAATCCTATCCCCTCCAATTCTGCCCTCTTCGATCGTACACTCTTCTTTCCCTCCTCTTTTCTCCTCTTCCAATCTCTCCACTTCCTCCCTCTTCTCCTTCCCCTTTGCATCCTTCCCCTTCCCGTCCCCTCCCCCATCCCTTTTCTCCCCTTCCTTCCTCCCTTCCCTCCTCCCATCTTTCCTTCTCCTAGATGAAACCTCACCTCCGCCCTCCTCATCCCCACCAGCAACCCCATTCCGTCTGCTGCTACTCTTCCCCATCCTCCTCCCGTCACCACTGCTCGGACTCACAATCTGCCCCGTTCCCCTACTACTACTCTTCCCTATCCTCCTCCCATCACCACTGCTGGGACTCACAACCTCCCCTGTTCCCTTACCACTGCCGCCCTCCCTCCTGCTACCACCACGCTCCCTCGCGCTCCTGCCAAGCTCCCGCCCACTAGTGTCACCCTCCTTCCAGCTACTGCTAGGGCTTTCCATGGGGCTGATGCTACCGCAAGTTCCTGTATCGAAGCTAGTACTCGCATTGCTCTCTGTCCTCGTTACAGAGCTCTCTGTCCTCGTTATAGAGCTTGCTGCGTTACTGTCAGTCCTCTCTACAGACCTTGATGCGTTGCTGCTAGGGCTAATAGCAACAGCAGCATCGCCACTGGTGGCTTTCTTTACCTTGTGCTTCTTCTCTGTCTTGACCCTATCCTCACCCTTAGTACTCCTGCTCTTCCTTAGAGCTTTGCCACTGTTGCTTCTCATACTATCACTTCTCATGCTATTCCGTTTCATCGTCTCACTTCTCATCGTGTTGCTTCTCTTGATATCCTCACTTCTCATAGTATCACTCCTCATACTGTCACTTATCACACTGCCACTTCCCACACTATCACTTCTACCACTTAATACACGCACTGCCGCACTCCTGTCCCCGTCCCTCTCCGTTTCCCCTCCCACCAATCTCCCTTCTCCCTCCCCCACTCCCCCCTCTCCCTCCCTCACTCCCCCCACTTCCTGTCCTGCTCCTCCCTCTTCCCCTCCAATCCCTGCAGTCGCTGCTTCTTTTTCCACCCTCTTCTCTCCGTCCTTCTCTCTTCTTTCTTTCCTCTCCTTCTCCTTCTTCTCCCTCCTCTCCCTCCTCTCCCTCCTCTCCCTTCTCTCCCTACTCTTTTCATCCTCTTCCTCCTCCACCACGCCTTGCACTTCGCCTCCTCCCTCTCGGCCTCCACTCTCACTCCCCTCACACGCAGCAGACGACTTTTGAGGCGCCCCATAAGAAATCTCCTCTCTGCTTCCACACGCCTGCACTGCCAAACTCCCCTCTTCCTCTTGCAAACTCCCCCCTCCCCCTTGCGAACTCCCCACTCCCCCTTGCAAACTCCCCCCTCCCCCTTGCAAACTCTCCCCTCCCCCTTGCAGACTCCTCTCTCCCCCTTGCAAACTCCCTGCATCACGTTTTTCCCCCAGAGTCTCCCATCCAAGTCCCCCACCCACCCTGTCATACGCTGATTGGCCAGCCTCCGCTGAAAGCAACACTGCTTCCCCTGGTGATCTTCGAACCTCCTCCTCCCCAACCTTTTGGGTCAACTCAAAAATTGCCCCCTCGAATGCTGACTGGCCAGCCTCCGCTGGAAGCAACAGTGCGTCCCCTGGTGGTCTTCGAACCTCCTCCTCCCCAAGCCCTTCACCTCCTGCCTTATCCTCCCTCACTCCCGCCTCCCTCACTCCAATGACCCTCTTTCCAATCCCCCTCACTCCAATCCCACTCGCCCTCTCCCACTCCTCGAGCTCCAATCTCCCTTCCCACTCCGAATCCTCCCCCTCTCCATCCACTCCTCTTCCCATACCACCACCCAAGCCACCACCAGCAGCGCCACCACCACCATCACCGCCCCCTCTCCTCTCGACTCCCCCACTCGCCAGCATCCTTTCAAAATCCAACGCTGCTAAACTCTTCCCTCTCATAGAACTTGATCCTGCCTGTCTTCTCTTAGCCTGCAGCAACGGGCTATTAGCACCCGTTGCCCCACCCCCACCTGCTACAGCCGCTGCCGCTGCTGCTGCAGCTGCAGCCATCGCAGCTCCGGCCGAGCCTCCTCGGAACGACCGGGATTGCAGAACCGAGCCTCGGAGTCCCGAGCCTCCCGCTGCCGAACCTGTTTCTGCCGAACCTCCTGAGGTTCCAAGCCCAAAATCGTCTCCTCCTGCAGCAGCAGCGTCCCTCCAGCCCCCCTTGCCCCCCGGGACCCTGGGAACCCTCCTTACAGTCACCATGGGATCTACAGTGGTGCTTGCCCCATCTAAAAGTGACTTGGAATGATGCTGCTGCTGCTGCTGCTGTTGCTGCTGCTGTTGCTGTGTAACGGAGGGAGCAAGGTGGAAGTGGGAGGAAGGAGGGGAGGCGTGTGAGGTGGTGGCGGGTGCCCAAGAGTGGGCGGCAGGGGGGAGATCAAATCCAGACTTGGACACGGGGATATTTGGCGAGGGGTGCGACGGCATGCCTGCTAGGAGGCGTGATGGGGACATGGATGGCGACAGCGATGCTGATGCCGAGGCTGATACCGAGGCTGATGCCGAGGCTGATACCGAGGCTGATGCCGAGGCTGATATGGATTGGGTACGGGCAGCAGCAGGGCTGCCTGAGCGACCATCTTGCTTCACTTCCAGCCTTCCTTCTGAGAGAGATGACGACCGAGATGGGCGGGGAGGGCGCAGGGGTGATCGGGCAGGGGTCCCGGAGGGTGAGTGCCCAGGTGAAAACGCAGGAGTTGGCGAAGCCGGATGCCCAGGTGAAAAGGCAGGCGACATGCCAGGTGATCTGCCAGGTGAAACGCGGACCAGCTCCGCTCCTTCACTCCCTCCTCGGCCCCGCATGTGCCCTGCCGGCGGCATGTCTGGGAACCGCCCTTCAGCAATACGCCCTGCCCCAGGTGGCACCTGCCCTTCCGCCCTTTCCGTCCCTTCCGAACCTACCTGCCCTTCCCTGCCTTCTTTTCCTTCCTTATCACCCGCCATTCCTCCCAGGTTCATGCATGCCGCATCATTCGCCACTGGAAAATCGTTAGTGTCAGATGCGCTACTTGCAGCAGCGTGGCTTGAAAAGACATCTCGAGAATGAGTGGAAAGAGCTGTGCTACGATCAGCGTTGTCCCCCTCATCCTCCTCTATGCTACACAGACTGCTCCTCACACTCCCACTGCCGCTCCTGCTCCGCCTCCTCTCACACACCATCCCCTCCCCATGCCCTACCCTTTCCTTCTCCCTCTCTCCCTCCCTTCCCCATACCTCCTCTCTCCCCGCCTCCGCCACACCTTCCCCCTTTCGCCCCCCTCCGTGAATCCCCAAGCCCTGAATCGCACCCCCCCTTGCCTCACGCGCATCCCTCTCCCCGTTACCTCCCCCACTCTCTCCTTCCATTCCCTCTCTTCCCCTCTCGCCGCAGTCAACCCTCCCTGCGTCCTCCTCATCCCTTACTCGCTGCAGGGACCGCCTAAGAGCTATTGCTTCCATTAACGAGCTCGGCTCGCGGATTTCATCGTCTAAAGCCATGCCCTCGTCGCTGCCTTGGTCATCCTCGTTATCAACCTCCGCGCTATTAGGATCTCCACCGCCAACAGCTGCTCCCTGCTCTTTCCTTTCTGCTTCGTCCTTGTTACCGTTGCCTTGTCTTACTCCCCCCTTCCGCGGCGATTTCCCGGAGCTCCCCCCAGCTTCCCCGCTCCCCAGTTCCCCTTGCGCATCTTCCGCCACTTCCTCCGCCGTCCCCCCTTCCCCTGCCCCCTTCATCCGTCTGCTCCGCAGGCGGTGAATGCGCTCCGCGCGCTCGGCCATGTCCTCGGGGTCCCAGTCCCCCGCCACCATTCCGCTGTGCGGAAAGAAGCACGCGCGGAAGCTCCCCGCGCCCATCGTCGCTCCACGCAACGAGCGCGCCTTGCTCTTACTCTTGCGCGCCCTTTCCCGCGTGGACACCCCGCTCGCGGAACCCTCGCTGGCCGTTGCGCTGACGGCATCGCCGCTATTCACGGCGCTAATTGCGGCGCTGCCAGTCGTCGAGCCGGCGTAACTGCTGGGGATACTGCTGCTAGCGACGCCGTCGCTAAAAAAAGCCGCGGGAAAAAAGGAGTGTACGTGTTGGCTGCTACTGCTGCTGCTGTTGATGCTATTGACTTCGCTAGAGGCAGACCGAGAACTCGCCGACTTGCTAAAAAGCCACCGACGATCTTTCGGTCGGCCTTTATTCGCTGCTGCTGCTCCAGCAGCGGCGACGCCGGACCCGTTATTAGCATCTACCGATACAGGAACGCTCGGAGTACCATCTCGAGAGCCTCTTAGCGAAAGCATGAAGCGGCGGCTTCGTGATTTAGTTGGAGATGTGAGGCTCGCTGTACGGGGAACCGGACTTTGCGGACCTGATGCGGGTTCACTAACCATAACGCTGCCGCTTCTAACGGGGATATTTGAGGAATGTGGACTGTCGTGTAACGAGTATTCCGAGGACAGGCTCTTATCGGAGCCCTGTTGAGAAGTCTTCAAATCTGCCATCCTTCTCAGATACACTTGCTTGTCTACTTTTACACCGCACCGACGCCGCTGCAGGCGCTTAGTATCGTAATCTAGACTTCATCAATAGTCAGAACTTGAACGTGCTAGCACCTACACGTGTTTGCTGGTCAACAGACAAACAAGTAGACCTAGTTGATCTAGGGGGATAGGTTTGTCTCACGAAACGCTGTGTATGTGTTGGATTGGGAGACAAACCATGGTGAGCGAGCGGGGAAACGTCATAAAAAGGCAGGCAGGGAGATAGCCAAGAGATACAGTGCGGTGACACGGCACGGCACCAGACAGACACACATGGTGACAATGGACGCACCAACATCGGGGGAGTTGCGGTGCGTTTCTGAAACGCAACAAATGTTCCCGAGAGACCATTCCGCCGGCGATAGAATCCCGGGCTCATTCCAACATCGGTCGGGATGACCCTAGGTTCTGTTGCGAGGTTCCCGATGATCCCTACTGGCGTCACGTTTCATTTGGCCCGTCATTCCCGAAACAAGGGTTCCCTCTGCTTGACGATACAAAATTCGAGGGACAGGGCTGTGGTGTGTCAGCGCTGTTCCCCATGGCCTGCTAATAACGAGTGTAACATCATACAGTATTTTTGCGTTACTAAATACTCCTTACAAAAATGTTCGAGAACATGGCTTCTCCCGACCCGACCACTATCCTAGATCCGTTTCTTGTGATCACATTCCGCAATAGCATAATCGATACCGTGAAATGATGCCGGAATGAGTGACCAATTAGTGCGGTGCAGCGCGTCGCGGTAATACTCTCATAATTGGCCGTGTCATCGATGGTACGATCCCACCCAGCACGTATGGCCTTCGAATAGGCGCTTCGTCCCATCTAGCACCGTCAGCATTGTGAGCGCCTTCATCACCGTCATCGTCGTCATCGCTGTCAGCACCGTTAGCACCACCGCGACCGGCATGCCAACCCACCATTCAACCCCCTGGCAAACCCGTCAGCCCTCATCCTCGTTATTCAGCTTTTTAGGGTTTCCGCGGTTTCGCCGCTTGCTGGCGCGAATGCCGCAGCGGTACGTGGTTGTGCTGCTGACTGCAGCATGCACGACGGTGTGTTATATCGAACGCGTGGGCTTCAGCGTGGCCTACTCGTTAGTAGCTAATCGCAACCACGTGGATCAGGCCACCAAGGGTTGGGTGCTCTCGGCGTTTTATTACGGATACGCCCTTTCCCAGGTGGGTGTCTTGCGAATGCGCCCTGTTTCAGGTGATTGCGTCGCGAATTCGTAAGGGTTCAAATTTCACGGATTCTCTGCTGTGTGTTTCACTGAGTGTTTGGCTTCACCGTGCCTGCCGTGCCGCTCACTGTCCCTTCTTCCTCATTGCCCCACGCTGTCCCAGCCGTCACACTCATCCCATCTCCACACGTCATCACCTCCCAGGAAGAACCGCTGCTCCCTTCCCCTCCGCTCTCCTTCTTCCCAGTTAGCTCCACTTCTCCCATCCACTCGCCTCTTGTTCACACGCCATCAGCGACGAGGCAGTCCCACCACTAATCAACCGCTATGCTGCCCTAGAGCCATCCCCGTCTGCTTCCGTGGCCCGGAATTTGCGAGAATCGTGAGAAACAGGAAATGCCGGAAGTCGACCTGCTGATCTCTCCCTTCCCTCTCCACCCCCGTTTCTCCCATTCGTGCGTCCCCGTTTCCCCTCACCAGCTGCCTGGGAGTTCTGCTGCTCAGCGCTTTCGAGGCCGGCGACTTTTGAGGCGCCTTTTGAGGCGACTTTTGAGGCGCCTCAAAAGTCGTTTCCCCTCACCAGCTGCCTGGGAGTTCTGCTGCTCAGCGCTTTCGAGGCCGGCGGGCCATCACCATGGCCTTCCTCGCCTGGGGGAGGAATGCGTGGCGCTGAATGCTTGAATCCACTCACCCATCCATCCCCTCTCCTCCCATTCTTCCACACTTCCTTCCTTCCAGGTCTCAGGCAGCTCTGCAGCGCAACGTTGTTTTGGAGGCCGGAGGGTGATCACGTGATCACCTCACCGTGGCCTTCCTTGCCTGGTGTGCTTGAACTTGCACTTCCATCCCCCCCCCTTCTCTTCCCCCATCTCACTCACTCCCGTCCCAGGTGCCAGGCAGCTCCGCCGCACAGCGCTTTGGAGGCAGACGAGTCATCACAGTGGCCTTCTCTTCCTCGCCTGGACCGTTCTCTCCCTCCTCACTCCTTCCCACCCCTCCTTTTGAGTCGACTTAAAAGCAGCTCCGCCGCACAGCGCTTTGGAGGCAGACGAATCATCACAGTGGCCTTCTCTTCCTCGCCTGGACCGTCCTCTCCCTCCTCACTCCTTCCCACTCCTCCTTCGCCCCCCTCTTACTTCCTAATCTCCTTCCAGGTGCCTGGTAGTTCTGCAGCGCAACGCTATGGCGGCCGGAGGGTGATCACAGTGGCCTTCCTCGCCTGGACCGCCCTCTCCCTGCTAACTCCCTCAAACCCGACCTCCTCCTCCCTCACCTCGCCCTCCCTCCTCGCGCTGCTCCTCATCCGCTTCCTAGTGGGCGCCACGCAGGGCTTCATCTTCCCCTCCATCCACACAGTGCTCGCCCTCTGCATCCCTCCCCATGAAAAATCCCGAGCCGTCAGCCTCACAATGTCGGGGATGTATCTGGGGGCCGGGGCGGCTATGTCTCTCATGCCGGCTGTAGCGGCAAGGGAGGCGCCCTGGGGCGGGCCGGCCGCGGTGTTTCGGTGGTCAGCTGGGCTGGGGTTGATGTGGGTGGTGCTGTGGGTGCGGCTGTTTTCAAAGGATCCGCCTGGAGGAGGGGGGATGGGAAGAGGGAGCGGTGGTGGTGGTGGTGGCAGTGCTAGTGATGGGAACCCGCTGTCTCCCCGTTTGCCTGGAAGTAAGCACGATCTCCTACAGGATGATGATGTGAAAGACAGTGCGGTTGGGAGTGGTGGAAGCAGCAGCAGCTGTAGCAGCAGTAAGGTTATTCCTTGGGGAGCCATGATGGGCAGCTGGGCCATCTGGGCTATAGTTATTAATAACTACACTTTTCATTACGCACTTTACGTGCTTATGAACTGGCTTCCTTCCTACTTCGAGCAAGCGCTACACACATCGCTCCAAAGCATCGGCATCGGCAAATCCCTCCCGTATTACATTATGATGATATTTTCCAACGTTGGTGGCGTAGCTGCGGATTTCCTTATCACGTCGCAATACCTGTCAATCGCAGCTACCCGGAAGGTTCTGAATACGGTTGGGTTTCTTATTGGGGCTTTGGCACTGTGCCTGATGCCGGTTCTTTCGTCGGTCACGGGAGCTATTTTATGCTCAACCATAACTCTGGGTGCTTGTGCATTTGCACGAGCAGGCTTCTCAGTGAACCACATGGATATTGCACCAAGGTATGCAGGCCCCGTTATGGGTATCTCCAATACTGCTGGGACATTGGCGGGCATCGTAGGGGTGGCAGCAACAGGGTTAATTCTCCAAGCATGGGCTACGGATATTGAATTCGGATGGTGGCTTGCGTTTGTTACGCCAGCTGGCCTGTGTGTGCTAAGTGCCGCAATCTTCTGTGCATTTGCTACGGGGGAGAGGTTGTTTGATTAAATAGAAATACAGTAACATCATTTAGCAATTGTAGTATAAATTTGCCTGATATTTTATTCTCTCGAATGGAAGCGTGGGACCACTAACGAACCCCGCGATTGCCGCATCAGACAACTTCCCATCCCACACTCTCATCATCGTACACTTCGATGGAATCGCGCCAAGGGTTGCGTGCGGCTGCTGGTGACGGACGGAGGACAACGAGGTTGGTTGGGCGATGATGATGTATCTTGTCGCCGAATCATTGGCTCGTCCTTCGGCGAACTCCCGATGTTGTCGTCGTGTGCGCCCTTTCCTTCTGCGGACTGCCTAAAAAAACTTATAAAAACTAGTTACAGAATGTTCTCCCTGCCCTCGATATCATAGTTATCACGAACTTGCCAGCGGATTCCGGCTTCCGGCGGCTGCTTTCCCTTCATGATTGCTGCTCTACCGTCAGAGAAGTAACCCAATGCCCTGAATTTGAAATTCAGCAGGGGATACCACAACAAATCACATGCTGTGTTGTGAAGACCCAATCAGGCTGACGAACTTGTCGGAATACACGTGATGCCCTTCTTCGGACACGTTTTTCAGTGGTTTCCATCTATTGTGTTCGGCATCTACACCGTAGTGGGATTTTGCTGGAAATTGGTGTTTTCTCACGCTGCCCTCCACATGTTGCTTGCAACCAGCAACGACGGATGTAACAGTGTCGATATAACGTGCATCAGCCTGTAACGCGAGTGCATGTATGAGATGCCTGAATGTTGAAGGCGTAAATGGTATGAATATAATCATGCGGATGCAAAGATAACTGAAACTTGAGTGTACAGTCCAGTTGTTTTTGGTGGCTGTTTTTTTGTCCCAGTCACAGTCACAGAGCAGCAGCAGCATTAGTGGTTGTTTCGCAACATTCAGTTCGTGTCCGTAGGGTTGACATGTCAAGTGAGAGCGGGTCAACCCGAAGCGCATTTGAATAAGAGTGTCAAACTTTGTAGCTGAACTGTCAAGTCAAAGCGCATGTACGAACATCAACGACTCAATTTCATTGGTTTGAAAATTTGTCAGGTGTGGATCTGCTAGGCAGCGAACGATTCAAAAGACATATTGTGTGCTGATTGGCCAACATCTGGTCGTGAGATAGGCACCTGCGACAATCTTCTGTCGTTTGAAGGTTTGACTGCGCCAATTTCAAAAGTGTTCGACGATTTGTATTGGCTGGCAACCTGCAATTTCTTGACACCCTGCCAACAATGTTGGCTGAGTGTCAAAATGCCAAATTGACACTGCCCACTTTGACATGTCATCCCTACGGACACGACCTCATTGCCACCAGTAGGCTGCATTCATCCATTTGCCTCGCCTTCCCGTCATTCTTCCTCCTGCTGATGATTGCTTCCCTGCTGCTTATGTCGCATCAGTCCCAACTTTTCGACCACGCTTCTCCTTGCACGTTCCTGGCTCTCATTTCGAAGCGTACTGTAATTGCAAGTGTCCTTATTTGCGGTGTAACGACCTGCATCCTTCGCATGATTGCTCCCTTGCATCCTCCTGTCTTCCCGTCGGCGGATTGGGGATGATTGTTTCCTTTCCTCGTGCAATCAGCCCTTCGATGTCATTCTTCCTGATCCGAACAAACCAACTGCCATGGTTGTACAAGCGCGCCCTTTTCGAGGTGACTTTTCGAGTTACACATGATACCCGTTTGACTAACCCAAGGTTGCCTTGTAAAGAGGGCTCAAGTGATTCTTGCATTTCGCTAGGCTTTCGTCAATTCGCACTTAGCAAAAACGGCTTATAAATTTTTTTGTAACTTGCCGACAGTCTCCTCGGTCAAGCTTCGATTTCTGTGGTTCGTATTGGTTGAGGTGCTTGTACATGGGGTGCAACTGGCTGGCGCAAAATACACGTGTACAGAGTTTCTGCCGCGTGCAGGGCAATTTCGCGCGCAGGGGCTGGGCATCTTGTGTACTCAAGAACCAAATTTTAACGGAATATATATTGCACTGCCTGCGTCAGCAGGCAGTAAAATCGAGTCAGCAAGCTGACCGCGGGCAAGAAAAAAACTAAAACCCACTCGGAAGGCATGCCATCCGAGGGAGCCTCAACCCTAAAATTTTAGGGTTGAGGCTCCCGAATGGCATGCAGTCCGGTTGATTGCACTTGCAACTCCTTTTCCATGCGCGAAGCGGACGTGTTGCTTGCTCCATTTGCCGAAACCACGCATTTTTAGTCAGCTCAGAAGTCGGACATTTTGCGATCCTCGGGCATTGCATTTTCCAAGTCTCGCGCAGGACGAGCAGGACGTAGAGCACCAAATTGCGACGTCAAGAGCTAGACTACGCCTCAGTCCAACCCGATCGCGCTAGGAATAATGTCCACATTTCAGAGCAGCACGGGAAGCGAGCCGTTACAGCGACGCCACATTGAGGGGAATAGAATCTGAAATCTCAACTCGACAGCCACATCGGTAACTAGAGCCGAAGAACAGCAGAGCTTTTCGTTCGGCATTCATTTCTTAGTAACGGATTTTGTTGATCAACAATATCGCGGAGTGCGATCGCGCGTTCAGAAATAAATTCCTTTTTTTACTTTTTGTTCTTTCCAGTAGGTCGGACCACCTTTCTTCGCCAATCTTCTTTGTCGTTCCTCGACGTAGCGTTATCTGGCGTATCTGTATAGTATTCTGAGACTCACCCAATCTTCATCAAAGTCGGGTCGCGCTTGTCATCATCGAGGTGACTTTTGAGTCGACTCAAAGGTCACCTCGTGATCGGAAGCTTCTATAGTATTCTGAAAGGCGCGCCATTTTTACCAAGGTCGGGTCGCGCTATCATCATCAACCTCCTCCCAGTGCGTGGGATCTTGCGGCAGGCCCACACGCTGCCTTATAGTAGCGCGTACAGACGAAGGTCTTGACTTGCTGGCTGGTGAATCCTCATCGACGTTGTGCGTGCGTCTATCGACGGCGGAGATTCGCCGTCAGCGTCGACTATCGACGGCGAGAACTTGGCGTTGTAAATCGACGGCGGAGAGTCGGCGTTGGGCATCGACGGCGGGGAAGAGCCGATGGGGAGCGCAAGAGGTTTCGACGTCGTTAAGGGTTATGTGGATACGGATTACGGCCAGATTCACTTCCGCAGGTGAGTTAACTGGAAAAAAACAAAAAGAAGCACACTATTGCTATGCTATGAATACGGCTAGATACACTACCGCAGGTGAACTATTAAGGTAATTTCAGAGTCGAATCAATAGTCACCCCATATCACGGCCACAAACACTACACACGTAAGCTAAAGTAGTGACCTTTGAGTCGACTCAACAGTTATCTCCACTTTACGGTCAAAGCGAACTACCGCTGGAGAGGTAACGCGGAGGAATGCGGCATCAGGTATGCCACTGCTACAGGTGGTGCAGATACGCTATCGCGACAATGGGATATAGATAACATGCCGACGCTCTAGGGTGTTTTTGAGAATTCTCAAAAACATGCTGACGCTCTAGGGTTTTCAACGTGACGTTCCAGCAGCCACTCACACCCGCACTCTTCCCCTCCTCTCCCTTCCAACATCCCCCCCCCCTCCCCACCCCTCCCCTCCTCTCTCTCCGCCGGTTGTTTTTTTAGAATTCGTGTACCCCGTTACCATTTATCCCCCCTCCCTCCTCCCCCACCCCTTCCCCTGTCCCCACACCCCTCCCCCTTTCCCCCCCAAATCTCCTCCGCGCGTCTCGTTTTTCCCCCGTGGTCCTCACTTGATGTTGCTCTTTCTTTCCCCCAACTTTCCTTTCCCCCTTCCCCCGGTCTCTCCCGCGCTCGTCATCCCCTCGACACCCCTTCCCCCCACCTTTCCCGACGCGCAGATGTGGACAAGGCATGCCGTCCGTGCTGCTCCTGCATGCCGCCCCGCAATCCTCCTCCATGTTCTCCTCCGCGCTCAAGCGCTTTGCCGCCCGGGGGCTGCACGCCGTGGCCGTCGATCTGCCCAACTGCGGCGAATCCAGCCGTTCGTCCATGGAGCTGACGATCGCTGACGTGGCGGAGATCGTGCTGCAGGCGATCCAAGGGCTGAGATTCACCAGCACCATCGACCTGGTAAGCATCGAACGGAGGGTGGGGGTGGCAGGCCATGGTCGGGGAGGGAGATAAGGGAAAGAGAAAGGACAGATGGGGGGAAGGGGGGTACGGAGAGAGGGTGGGTGATTCAATGGGGGGTGTGGAGAGGGGGGAAGAGGGCCGAGTGCGGGGCATTGCCCTTTGAATGTAGGGAGAAGGGGAGGGGAAGGGGGGAGGGGGAAAGGGGGAGGGGGAAAGGGGGAGGGGGAAAGGGGGAGGGGGAATGAGGAGCATCGTTTGGCTAGTTGGAGTCAGTACAAACCCCCAACACAGCATGACCTGGATGAATACATAACAACGGACCAGCTTGGTCAAAAGAAGTATACGTACACATCGCACCCCGCCGGCCTGACTGCGGCAGGAAAAGAATAAGAAAACCTTTCAAACGACTTGCCCGCTCGGGAGGCTTTTTCATTCCCCCACCCAAACCAACCCCCCTTCCCCGCTACACCGTGTCGCCCCATGTTACCTTCACCCACCCACCCACCCACCCACCCACCCACCCACCCACCCACCCACCCACCCACCCACCCACCCACCCCTATCCACCCCCACCCAACCCCATCCACCTTCACCCACCCCCATCCACCCACCCCCACCCCCACCCACCCACCGTATCCACACAGATCGGGCACCAGACGGGGCCGACAGTGGCGCTGCAAATCGCGTCAGAC